AGGAGCTACAGAGAGATCTGAAGATTCCTCCTCCTTGTATGGGGTTTGGAAGTTCCCAGATGAGGCACAGTTGTGAAGCAAGGCCACTGCTGCTGCCAGGTAGTGGGCCTTCTTTTGGAATCTCTGGGGCTCTCTCACCCAGCTGCAGTTTGTTTTAGGCAAAAGAACAGGCCATTCATATGCAAAAGCCACTTCTCACAGCTTGGATATGGTTGTAAATTGGGTGGGGCAGACTCTCTGGAAATCACTAGGGTGGAGCAAACAGCAATGACTGTCCCGAACCAGAGAAGTCCCTGGTTCTCCGTGTCCTGTGCCCCTCTGTAGGAACAATGATTGCTGAGAACACCTCTAAGTGTAAGCCACCCTCCTGTTCCTGTCCCAATGCCAGACAGTCCACTTTCTCCCTGTATGTGTCTGGGTCCCCCAGCGTCTCACCAGGAACTGGAGTTTAGAGCAACTGGAGCTTGTATCTCCCTCCTGGCTTAAAAAGCTGCACATCCAGGTGCAGCATTTTCCACGCCTCTGCACTTCTTACTGGTTTCAATGAGCTTTCTTCACCTCTCTAGTTGTGGAACTTCCACTCAGCCAGCTTTTCCACAATTCTGGGTGGTAGATGTTCTGCTGTTTTGTGGTTTTGATGTGGTTGTGAGAGGCAGCAAGTATAGGTAATTACCTATGCTGCCATCTTGATTTCCAAGATAAATTTCTTATCTCCGTTTTTCATTTATCTGTTCTTCTGGAGATTTCTCTTGTTCTTTCATTTGGGGGTTGTTTCTTTGTCTCCTCATTTTGGCTGCCTGTTTGTGTTTGTGACTATGTATTAGGTAGATCTGCTATACCTCTCAATCTATAGTGCAGGACAGTGTCAAACTCTATTTCAGACTAATTAGATCAGGCAAAGATTCAAAGCCTCCAGAGAACACTTCTGTCTACAGAAAAGATCCTGTCTTGAATTAGGCAATTGTCCACAAGTGTGGCAAGAGTTATTTTCAACCTGGTGGAGCAATTGCTTCTGCTGGGAGGCTAACTGTGATTCTAAATATCTTAATTGGCCTCATTATCTCCCCAAGAGAGGCAAGGTGTTTTCCAATAGGGTGTGTCCACTGTCTTCTCCCCAGGCAAGACTGCCTCTATAGCAAATGTCTGCATGAGAAAGATGACCTCTGCAGCATGAAGGAATGACTCAGCACAGAAAACCAGGTGTCTGCCTTCTGAACTCTAACCCTAAAGCCCCCAATCCTGGCTTCTGCTCACAGAGCTCTAGTCCATTTTGACCTCCCTCTGCCAGAGCACAAGGTGAGTGGCTCCATAGGAAATGTGCCTTGGTCCTTTGAGAGGGTCCCTGAATTTCCTGCCATTTATCCCAGGCAGACAGCAGCCCCACTGATTTTCACAGCCAGATGTTACATGGTACCCTTCTCAGTTCCAGTGCTCTCTGCTGGAGGGCCAGCTTGGGGATTAGACCCCAGCATTCTCACTGGTAACTGCCCACAGCTGAGATATCGCTCCAAAACTTCAGTTGCTTCCCAGCCAGCCCTTTGGTGACTCCACCCCTCTTACCAGTCTCTATGCAGTTTCCACTTTTGGTGTTCCTTAATAATTTCTTAGAGCTCACTTATTCAGTGTCTCTTTAACCCTTTGTATGCCATAAGCATCTATAGACACTTTAAAAATCATTTTTCATGAGAATTTTCAACTGAAAATATTCAAGAACACCTGAATTGTGAGTTATATTTATTTTTATAATATTCATTGCAAATTGATTTTTTAATTAAATTCAAAACATCGTGGCATGTGGGGATGGTTTCCGTTTTGGACGCATGGCAGTTAACTGGTTAAAGTGTGTTCTTACAGTTCTTGTCATTAGGCGACCCCTGTGAAAGGGCCGTTCGACCGCCAAAAGGGTCGCGACCCACAGGTTGAGAACCGCTACTCTAGAGGCTTCAGTCACCCTGAGGCACCAAATACTGAGGGAAAGCTGTTTATGGCAGTTTGCTTGGTCCTCTTCTCACTGCCTTCAACTTTTTTCCTTTTAGCTCAGGATTTAGTTGGGGATGCAGGGAAGAAGGGAGAGGACGGGAGTTGGGGGGATAGTGAAGCTCAGGTAGGACTGTATCCCAACACAACTGAAAAGAAGGTTAAGTTTGTCTTTTTTGGGGTTCTCCATGCTGCTCATGTCACCAGAAAGGGATAGGACTAGGCCAAGGCAGGTCTACCCAAGCACGGTTTGGGATTTGTGGGTTTTTTACTTCATGTAGGAAATAACTCAAGACACAAGCCAAGCTGATTTTGCAACTACGTTTAATAAAGGTTAAGTTAGTAAAACAAAGGAAGGACTTAGGATAAAAGAAGCAAGATGACAGTAACAGAAGTGACCCTCGACTAGGCTTGCCTAGACTCAGGAAAGGAAGTCATAGTAACAGAAGTGAGCCTGGGCTGGGCTGCTAGATCACTGAGAAGTAAAAGTCTGAGTGACAGAAGTGAGCCAAGTGGGGACTGCTTTTGGCTCACTGAAAAGTTAGGCAAAAGGAGGGCCCTCAGAGCTTTGGAGAAAATATTATTACCCACATGAGGAAAGGGAGGAAAGGGTGTGCTCAGGGGGGAGCATGCACTTGGTCCTTTGTCTTAAGGATTTTATGTGTTTTCTGTAGATGGGAATTTTGGGGAGGCCTCAATCAGATTATTCATCAGCTTTTTAGGTGTGTACTTTAACATGCTTATGTATCAGGTGAGCATATAGCAGGATTGGGGATCATCCTCTGATCATCTTTACCTCTATCTTGGATTTGTCTGGCCATAATTACTTTTTTGTTATTGTTATTTATTCCCCTAACTTCCTTGGTTCTTGGGTTTAGTTGGCACTAATGGCACTGCAGGGTCTCTGTTATTTATCTACTTGAGTAAGGTGATTCAAGATACTCACTCTCTGGTTGGGGAGTAGAGGTGTAAGCCACCTGTTCCTAAGTGTCCTTGGTTAGGGAAGATAGAGTCTTATGATTTGTTAGCTGGCTGTCACGATTGCTTGGCCCTTTGTTTAAATATTTTGTCTCCATTTCCCTTATTCTATTGGCAGAGAATTTTCCTAGTTTTTTATTAACCTGCCTCATCCACTTTTCTTTCTCCTTAAATCTTCAGGCCCTTCCAGTCACCGAAACTCTTCCTAAGATAGGCTCCAGAGCAGGTGCCCAAGCATGTGTAACCCACTGGCAGATGTTTAAAGAGTTAATCTCTCCTTTGGAACAGGGACCAGTAGCTCCAAAGTGAAGGCATATCTGTGGGTTTTTAGGATTTATCAGTAAGCTAGAAGCAGAGATTTACTGGGACTCTTGGAAGCCTTTCTATTCTACCTGCCTTGTTTGGTAACCACTACCAAACCCAGTTGTGCTGGTGAGCCCTGAGAGAAGCCAGGAGAGTTTGCATTGTTGGGGTCCCCAAAGTGAGATCAGAGAATGCATTTTTAGACCAGGAAAATGATAAAAAGCCCTTGGGGCCTAGGTGTCAGTCACTGTTTTAGAAACTAAGACTGTAGAGGTGGAAAAGACAATTATTCTTTTCTCAGTGTGTTCTATCAAATCGAGAGACAATGAGATCAATTAACCATTAAAGGAGTGGTGGTTATCAATGGAGATAATCAGTTTTGCAGCTGTGCTAAAGGGAACAGAACTGGGAGGGGGGGGGGCGGGGAGCGAGGCTCCTGGTTAGTTTCTTTTGAACAGTTGAGGATGAAAGTAAGGAGAAGCCCAGGAAATATGGCAAGAATGTTTCTGAGGCTTAGTAGCTGGGAGGTTGAAGTCAAGGGCAGTGGGTACTAATAGCTGTCACATAACCTTCTCTACAAGTGCTTTCCTGGTTCTGTAAAATCTATGAGTAACCTCCTTATTGGCATGGCATCCTTTCATGAAACCAAATTATGTGGGTAAATAGACAGGGCAGGGGAACAGCATTCTGCTGGGAGACCCGTTCTTGGAGTTGTTCCATAGATCAGAAACAGCATCTTCTGGATCCAGATCATGTATGTGAACAATGAAAGCTTGATCATGTTATGAGCAAGAGTAAGACATCAGAAAAGAGGCAGCTTTGGGACAAAGGGCCATGCTTATCAATATTAAACATTGCCTCCTGGAACAAATCTTTAATCCACTCCAAAGGGTAAATATTTGATCTAGTCATGCCCAGAGAAAAGGTGAATGAACTCTCCTTGTTGTGCACAAGCAGTGTCCTTAGTTTTCATATCTCTGCCAGGATTAGGGATCTTTGGAACTAGTTTCTTCACCCAGTTCATTTCATCGCTATATAATTAGAACCAGAGGGGTCCAGTGCACACAGCTGGAACCCATCTCCAGAAACAAAGAGCAGGAAGCCATCTTCAGTTGGAGGGATTCTTCCAGATTTTTGTAAGATTCTTACCCCTGAGTAACCTATTGCTGTATTTGTTTATATATACATACTATTTCTAGCCATCTAGCCACTTCAATGAAATATCTTTTTCTCCCTTTAAAGCTTTTGGGTCCAAGCTTATGAATTAAGAAAAAAAAATCAAATTCTAAAGTTTAAAATGAAAGCAGATTTCTTTTGGGATTGTCTATATATGTGTGTGTAAAGAGAGATTAGTGAGACTGGGAGCAAATTGAGGTTTAGGAGGAATTCCTGAATTGTGATAAAATCCCCAAAGTCCTGGGGAAGCTATTTGCTGAAGGGCATCTGGATGCCCCCAGGGAACAGGCATTAAATGTGGCACGGTGAGGAAACAAACCAAAAGTATGCTTTTAGTTCTGTTTTCTTCTAATCTTCCCTACTAATTTTTTCCTTTAAAAAGTTTTGATTACTCCTTAAGAGCCAAGTGGAACACATCCAAGATCAAAAGAAGGTACATTGGCAGGTTGAAGGGAAGAAAGAAGGAAAAGAGATAAAGGGAGGAGTATGCATTGGGTGTTATGCTTTCACTCTGTGGGATATTGCTCTAGAATATATAAAATTGTGAAGCCATATGTATGGAAATTATAACCATAGTTACTCATCATAGACTGTCAAGTTAAATCCCTAGTGTGTAAAGTTGGATGGACCTCTTGAATACAAAACATTGCCTGTGTAGAGAGGAAAAGAATATTAATTCTTGTGAAGATTGAAGAATTGTTTTGAGACAGATGATAAAGTTAGTCTGAAGAACAGTGGGGACAAATTTCACTAACAAAAAGTTGACAGTTATGTGCTTGAATATGGAAGGTTATGTGCGAGTGAGTTTGACCACCAGATGTGAGGTTCTAAACCCGTGGCCTAGGCAGATTCACCTGAGTACCAAAAATAATGTCTCAGACTTGTTTTCTCCCAAATTCATTTTACCACTTTTGGAGAAATTTAGGATTGAATGTATGAGTGAACAAGTTGTGAGTGGGGGAGCAGTTATTAGATAGAGGTGGCCATGATGTGTACCGACTGGGATTTGCTTTCTGGGTGTCTTAGGAATTCAAGATTACAATTAGCCTGTGCAAAATTTAGCTGAGTCCTTACAGAATTAATGTGCAAGTTCTGCAAATTACAAACAAAGTTTTCCCTTTACCTCTCCAGACTGGGATGGGAGGCCTTCAACCTCCTACAAGCAAGTGGCTTTGTAGGATAGAAAGCCCCTCTGTGGCATCAGTCCAGGGCCTTAATTAAAGGTGGTCTGTAGGCTTGGCTTACACCCTGAGCCTTAAGAAATGATACATTTCAGTGAGATTGGATCACAGGTTTTCTTATCACCTACTAGAGGCCCAGTGCATGAAATTTGTGCAGAAAGAGGGTTCCTCAGCCCCTGCTGGCACAGTCTCCAATCCAGGACCCGTTGGGGGATGTCTGACTGCCAGTTTAGGCAGTCAGACATCCCTCTTGCAATCCGGGACTACTGGCTCCTAACCACTTACCTGCCTTCCTGTCTGAACACCCCTAACCACCTCTGCCTGCTGGCCTGTTGCCCCTAACTATTCCCCTGCCAGCCTGATCACTCCATAACTGCTCCCCTGCTGGCCTCACGCCCCTAACTGCCCTCCCCTGCCAGCCTGATTGCCCCCTAACTACCCTCCCATGCAAGCCTGCTCGCCCCCTAACTGCTCCCACCTGCCAGCCTAATCGCCCCTAACCACCTCTGCCTCGGTCCCTGACACCATGGCTTTGTCTTCCTGACACCATGGCTGGAAGGACGTCTGGAAGATGTCTGGTCTAATTAGCATATTACCTTTTTATTAGTATATATTTCTTTCACAAGGTGTCTACCAACTAAACTTATACAACCTGTCTCTATAATTCCACTAGACTTTTGCTAGTAACACTGGAAAATATTCTCTTATGCTTAATGAGAACCATGGAATTTCAGACTTTAAAGATAGCAAACCTCTCTTTCTATAGATGAACAAACTTAAGTCTTAAGAGAAAAATTAAGTCAATCACTAAAAAAAATTAAAAATATTGTGGGTCTACTGTGAGACAGGCACTGTGATTCAAGGTGAATAATATGGGTTCCGCCCTCCTGTAGCTTATACACCAGTAGAAAACACTGACAAGAAGACAGGTAATTGTTTGCCTGGAATACATGGATAAAATCTTGGAAATTATACCCACAAAAAATGGAAATAGGTATATCTTTATTTTGTGACATCTTTGTGGGCAGATCCTGAGTTTTGATGCTGTTGCTTTGACACTTGTATCTAATGGGGTGTCCTTGGTCTTTATTATTTAAGCATAGAGTATTTAGACAGAAACTCCAGACAGGCCCAGCAGCTCAGATCCCCTTCTTTGAACAACAATATCCCCACAACCTGTACAGCACTAGCACCTTCTACCAGGACCCCTGGTCTCCAATACAGCATGGAAGACATTGGCAACATTTCTATCCACCACTGCCACCTAATGACTCTTTTGGCTACTACAGCTCTACTTTCTGATTTTGAACTCTGGGATTCTGGCCCCAGGCAGAGAGGTGTTGACTTGGTGACCCTCAGGTCCTGTTCCATCTTGGGAGCCTGAGATTCTATAATTGCCTATGACCTTAGAAGACAATATTTGTCTGTCGAAGAACAAGAGACCTAAATGAATCCAAATCAATAAGCCTTTGATGAGGTCTTCCACAAAACTAGAAAAAGAAAACACCCAGAAGACGAAAAAGCACAATGTAAATGTAAAGAGCTTGGCAAATGGGGAGCATGGCAGGCCAGCAGCTGTGCTGAAGCAGTGGCCACGTATGAATACTTGTTATTCTTTTAGGGGTGGCTTTTCCCTCTTTAGTCATGTACCATGTTTTTTGCTCAAGTCCCAAGAACATGCTTTCACTTGATTCTATTATAAATTATAATTAATGTTCTTAATGGAAATTTTTTCAGCTGTTATTTATTTCAGTATTGTGGAATGACCAAAAATTTTCTTAGTGTATAATTTCATATTCTTCAACAGTGTGTCAAATTTGTGTATCGTTATTATGAAACAGACAAGATGTATCAATGCCGTATGATGATGAGAAAGAGTCACTTTGCTCCCTCTCTCACATGCCTTCCCATGAAATCATCAGATCCCTGGATTTATTGGTCTTTTTAGATTTACAGTCATACTCCAAGGGCTGTTTAGTAATACTATAGGCTTAATGCTAGAACCTGTGCCATCTTTAAGGGTGTAAAATATTTGACATAAAAATATTTATTTATGTACATATAAGAAAAATTCAAAATAAAGATTACTATTTAACTTAATGTCTATGAAAATGTACCATTTGTTTTCTTTTAATTTAGGATTTATATGAATTACATCACACTTAAGAATAACTTGAAGGTCAAATTTTTCTTCCGTAGTAAGAATTTCTTATTATGTGTGATGGTTGCTAAGAAATCATAGCCAGTCATAAAGTAAATAAGTTGCTCATTCATAAACAATTTGAAAAACAAAATTATAAAAATTATTTTCAAATTTATTGTGAAAAGTCATTTTTATTATTGGATGTGGGAACACTGACATATATTTGATATAATGTGGGGGAAGATATGACAGTTTTTAAAGGCTCTGAATGTTCTTTAAATTTTTCTCCAAAGAACTAAAAATATTGTCAGGAACTTCCAAATATTTTTCTGGAAACACAAAATATTTTTCAATTCTCCAATCTTCACATTTCTTAACACATAAAGTTTTTAACATTAATATGAAATTTGTTTTCTATTTTGTTATAATCTACTAGTGGCCTTCTGCACGAATCTGTGTGTGAGTAGCTCACTGCCGCTTGCCTCAGCTGGCCGCCCCCTCCCCCCACTGCTGCTCATAGCTCTCGGCTGCAAGTAGCTCGTTGCCCCTCCCTCCTGCTGTTAGGTCGTTATGTGATGGTGTCCAGGCCAATTTGCATATTATCCTATTATAAGTATAGATACTTGTTTAATTCTATTTTTAATAGCTGTCATTGAGATAAAATCATACTCCAGAAAGAAGCATTCTGTTTATTTGATAGGTATGTTTGAGTGTGTATGACACACTGCCCCTAGGAAGTGTGGTTCCACAGTTTAGACAGAAAACTCTTGAGAGATAATGGCAACAATCCTCTTCTCTTTCTTATTCTTCTTTTGTGGAAGATGTTACAAAATCATTACAGTAAACTGTAAGGACTTTGGCTTGATGAAAGTCCTAAAGAGGTTTTCTTTGTTTTTGTTGTTTTATCACATAGTAACATCATTTGCCTATTGTGGAACAGTGCATGTACATTTATTGGGGAAACTAGAAAATACGAGTGTTCTCTGAGAATAGTCCACCTTGTTCCTAAGAATAAGCTTGAATTCCTCTTCCTCCAGTCTCCTGTAAAAGTTGACCCAGACCCACTTCCAATCATTGCATCAATTCTTCCATGCAACTGCTCTCCTTATAGCCAGCTGATTTATGGACTTGAATACTTAGAATCTTGTCTTTAACAAACCTCTGATTGACGCCTCCCTGGACTAAGAAGACCCTCTTTGCCCTGGCCAGTGTGGCTCAGTTGATTGAGTGTCATCCCATGCTCCAACAGGTTGCCAGTTTGATACCTGGTCAGGAAAACTACCCAGGTTGTGGGTTTAATTGGTTTTGGTGCATACAGGAGGCAGCCAATGGATGTTTCAGTCTCACATCTCTCTCTCTCTCTCTCTCTCTCTCTCTCTCTCTCTCTCCCCCTCTCTCTCTTTCCCCACCTTTCCTTTCTCTCTAAAATCAATAAAACATATTTTTTGAAGTCCATCTTCTTTATAGGTCTCCTATCTTATTGTTTCATCTCAGGAACTGGAGCTCCTATTCCTTATCCATGGATGCTACATCTCCTTTTAGGGAGGAGTTGGTATGTCTTAATGGTCTCTGTGTGTCAGGACCTAGCACAGTGCCTTATACCCAGAGGAGCTTATGTAATCTTTGTTATTCAATTAATCAATAAATGGATTAGAGTGTGCATGGATATTTTAATGCTATAACTGATAGAAAGGTAAGTACTCAGAGTCTTAAGGAATATGAAAGAATGGTTAGGGCAGGAAGTTGTGTTCAGGAAACTTAGATTGATTTTCCAAAAGAATGGATTGACAAGAAATGTGAGATTAATGAGGAAGAGAAAAGAAAAGATATAATTTAAGTGACTTAGGATACTGGACTCATGATGCCCTGTCACTAGCTCAGCAGGTCCCTGTCCTTTTAGTCTCATTTGCCCTTTTAGCCTAATTTGTCCTACCATACCTTTTGCCCTGGGCAGGAGCCTTGTTGGAAGAGATGATGATAGGCCTGGGTCCCCTGTTGTTGGTCTTCATGCTGGGGCCCTGTCTGACCCCACCGACCCTGGCTCAGGATGACTACAGGTACAGACACTTCCTGGATCAGCACTATGATGCCAATCCACGTGGCCGGAATAACAGATACTGTGATACCATGATGAGGAGACGAGGCTTGACTTCACCCTGCAAAGACACCAACACCTTTATTCATGGCACCAGTAACAACATCAAGGCTGTCTGTGAAGATGAGAATGGAAAGCCTCATGGGGAGAATTTCAGAATAAGCAAGTCTCCTTTCCAGGTCACTACTTGCAAGCTCAGAGGAGGGTCCACCCGGCCTCCCTGCCGGTACAGAGCCACAGCCTGCCTGGATCTTTTGTTTTCTGTTTTACAATATATAACAAATAAAAATGTCTCTGAAATCAGTAAGAAACATCAAAGTCTTCTCCTCAATTTGGCCTATTGATTTTCCCCCATTTTCTCTACTCAACTGCCCACAGACAGGATTACATGGAATATAAAGGCCTTTTCCCCTCTCAGTTACTTCCTTCTCAGTCTATAGGGAGGTAGACTTCCCCTTTTTGTGAGTGTAAGGATGTTAAATTCATCTTACAGCAGAGCTGGGAAATTTCAGGGCACATGGCTGCTAAGCAGAATTTTCAGGAGGAGCAAATTATTTTTGCTGTCAAATAAGTCAATATTACTTTTACAAATGTTAAACTTTGAGTAGTGTTTAGAACTAAATACCAATAATTAATTAAACTTTATCTACCTATCTCTTAAATTTTTGCATTTTTAAAGATATATTTCAAATAAAACACAAGGCATATTCATTAATAGATTCAAATCTATACTCTAAATTTTCTATAAGAGGCAAACCAGATTAATAAATTTATTTCAGTATCCTGTATTCCAAAATACCTAGATATTTAAATTTTTTTTACTATTTAACCCAACAAACTCCAAAGTTTTAAGTTACCAAAAACTTTGGAAAACTATGTTTAGGCATATATATCTATCAGTGAAAAAGCTTTATCATAAACCCTTTATTTTAATTACATCTATTTATTATGTTTTAACAATGTTGTGATTTTAAAACTAATTGTTTTTACCCAAGGCATTTTCTTGGCAGATTTTGTAACAGGGATAACTCATTGGCCTTCAGTGGCTTTAATGTGAAAATGCTATTTTATTTTATTTTCCTTTATGAAAACAGGAGTTGCCTCTCCCCTGCCCACCTTCACTGCTATTTCTGCAACTTACTAGAGGGTTTTTCTATAGAGCTGTTCGTCCCAGTGTTATGGGCAAAAATAGAACATTGGGGACTAGTTATGGTTATGGGAAATATTAATCTGTTAGCCATGATTGCCTAACCAGGACATACCACCTGGTTGGGAGTCATACGTCCCCTCCCTCCTTGGAATGTGGTACATTCTTATTCAAGAACTGCCTATTACCATGGAAACATTAACCTTGTTGCCCAAACAATGGAGTCCCAACCCAGACTGCATTGCTCACTTCCCCGTGACCACAATCCCTACTTTCCCATGTGATCTTTGTCCCTATATTCATAAACCAGAGAACAGCAAACTAAAGTCCCCAAAAGATAGAAAGCCGAAATTACATTAGACACACAGACAGAAATCTCACTAGCTAAGAGTTTCTGGTGATTGACACCCTGAGAGGAAGAGCAGGAAGAGTACACTCTGACAATCTCTGTCCCATGTTCAGCCTCGATACACATAACTGGGCTTCCCCAAAGCAGGACATGCCCCACCTTTAAACAAATTAACCCAAACAACAAAGAAACACAAAACATCAACAGAAACACTCTTATCCAGGTGCACACAATGCACTAAAATTTACACCACAGAGTCCCCTGCATTAAAAAACCACCGAAGCAGAGCAATATCTCCTGTCCCTGGTTCCAGGACTGTCCCTCCCCTGAACCTCAGCATTCTCCCAAATAGACTATTAGGGGAAGAATTCTATTGAGGCCTAGATAGAATTTTTGTTTCCCATCCTCAGAAAGTCCCTTGTGACTCTGTTCCTGCTCAGTCCCCTGTATTGGAGATGTCTCTCACTGTGCTCAATCCCCCCATTAGATGTCTCGCACTCCCCGAGATCCGTTTGTCCCTCTCTGGCCATTTCCCTTGTGGGAGAACAGAAGAGCAGATCAGAACTCCGCACTTGCTTTGTGTGTCAGATATTTCCCAGTCACATATACCCAACCTCCAAGGATACCCAACCACCAAGATGGTATTTCCACCTTGGCCCATGCATGAGACTTGCCTGGTTGCTGGGAATGTACCCTCTTTGTATCATTTTCGCCACCTTCCAAAGAAAAACAGTCTCGGACTTATCTATGGCCCCTGCAAAGAGACAGGGCCCAGGCAAAGGGCTACCCAAAATTGGATGGGACGTGCCTACCCTTCAACCAGGGTCCCTTCCTAGTCTGGGCACAGATATCCCAGACACGCCCCCAAATTTTGAGAAATGGCTCACCTGTCTGAATTTGAAATGATAGACTGAGAAACAGAAACATGGCAAAAATGAGACTTTTAATAACACTCTCAAGAGCGGGTGTCCATCGGCATACAAGTTGGGAGGGGAACATAGACTGTTTATGAGTCCCTCTTTTGGTTCCTCATTGGCTGAGTCCTATGTGGTCACCTGTTTCTTCATACATCGCCTGGGTCTTGTTGTCTCCCATTTACCATTTAAAATATTGGCTGAGACCCTTTTCTTTTCTTTTCTTTAATTTTGGCTGAGACCTTTCTAGTTGACTCCACCTCCCTTTGTTTAGGGGAATCTTCTTGGAAAAATGTGCAATCAGTCACGTGCACAGTTCTCATACCTTCTCCCCACTCCCCACAACTTGTTTGCTCTAAGGAAATTCAGTAACTGCCTGGCCACATGATATTTCTTTTCTATAAAGTTTGAATCAGAGGCATGTTTCTGACACTGAGCACCTACCATATACCTGGCATTATGATAAGTACTTAACATTGATTTTATCATTTATTCTTCCTAAGATCCCTAAGTGAAACGTATTATTATGCTCACTTACTTAAGAGTAATAATGCTGAGAGAGGTGAATAAATTTCCCCAAGATCATATAGTTAATATGGCAGAGCTAAGTCTTTGGGATCACAGTATCAAAAGAAGTTATTATTGAGAATCAATATCATAGAGTGGAGAGAAACTTTGGGGCAAGCTCTGACCAAAAAGTATATGTTGGGATAGTTTGGGGATCATTTCATTATCTGTTGAAGCTACAGCCTTAAGATACTCTCATTGATGTCTACATTGGACTTCTGTTAGCAAATATTTGTTGATGTCTTGTTAAATCAATTGGTTATTGTGGCTGAGGCTGTGGATTTGCTCTTGCATGAATAGTTTAGGTCATCCTGTAGCCAGCTGTCTTTCTAAATCATATCTTGGACACAAAGAAGTAGGATTAGAAAACGTAGATAAAACCATGCAAAATCAGAGTGAAAGATTAACCATGCAAGGTTAGATTTGGGGAAAATAACCCAAAGTGTATTGTGATGAAGCTATTACCCAAGTGCTATGTGTTCCTTCAGAAATTCTATCCATTAGTCTAAGGATGAGGAGATAATCAAGCATCATTTCTCCCTGTTCTCATATCTCATATCTACAGCTATAGGCACTGGTATGTGACATAGAGCTTTCTAGCTTTTTGTATATAGGCAAAA